AGCAGGTTTTACTAGCCCGGGTACTTGACAATCAGCAAAGTCAAGTGTGTGCCAGGCACTTGCATGCCTGGTAGCCACACACTTCTTTGCCGCATGCCTCGCGCAAACTTGCCGTCGCTGATGCATGTATACAATTGTACATGCTTAAGCAAGTGTGTGCCTGAGGCATGCAGCAAAGAAGTGTGTGCCTGCCAGGCATGCACCAAGAAGTGTGTGCCTGCAGGCATGCACCAAGAAGTGCATGCCTGGCACACACTTGAGTTTGCAGAGAAGGTTTACCGACGCATTCCGATCGGCATAAATTTATAGGCACCCCTGTAAGCTTAATATAATTTGTGCTATATGAGTTCTTTTTCATGTACAGTGTTCTGTCGTTAGGATTTTTTTTTCTTTTTTGAGACGACGAGAAAATGGGGTTTGAATTTTCACCTCTCGATCCTGACTCTCTTTACCACACTTTTGTTTCCTTTGCGGATAAAGTGTCCCCTGAAATTCAAAAGGTGAGACATTTTACCAATTTTCGGCGATACAAAAAGTGACAGAAAAGAAGTGGGGCAGGCAAAAATAAGTGTCTGTGCTTCGTCTGGAATTGGGGCGCTTGTCCGAACACTGCCAATCCAAGTGTGAGACAGTCTCACACTTGTAAGTGTGGGGCAGTTTGTCTCACGCTTACAAGTGTGAGACAACGAAGTCTCACACTTGCAAGTGTAAGACAGGGTTTGTCCCACACTTGTTGCCTATGCTAGCTCTGTGGTTCAATGCCACGGGTCCCACGTCTGGAACTGTAGGACAAACCGTGTCTCACACTTGCAAGTGTCAGACATATCGATGTCTCACACTTGAAAGCGTGAGACAAGCGTGGCTCACACATGTAAGCGTGAGACAAATTGTCCCACACCTACAAGTGTGAGACTGTCTCGCACTTGAATTGGTAGTGAAATAATGAACTTCGACTGAAGTTAAACTCTAATGCAGGCGACTTCATGCACTCTTATAACCTTACGAAGTATTTTGAGCATACATATAACAAACTAAAATACTTTGTTATACGAAGAAATAGTTCGTAAATTACGAAGTATTTTCTTTGTAAGCTTACGTATGCTCAAAATACTTTGTTATACACAGTAAACTTCTTACGGATACATCCTATCTGTATTACGGACATTTTTGTGCAATTGCAATTACGGATAGATTTTGCTTGTAATACGGATGAAATCATCCGTATTACAAAAAGTTTTACGTCCGTAACATACAGGCGAAAATATCCGTATGGTACGGACGTAAAACTCTTTGTAATACGGATGATTTCATCCGTATTACAAGCAAAATCTATCCGTAATTGCAATTGCACAAAAATGTCCGTAATACAGATAGGATGTATCCGTAAGAAGTTTAGTGTGTACAAACTACTTTTCTTTGTAAGGCCCAAAATAGTTTGTAAGGTTTTCTCAGTGTGTGAAGCCGACAGTTGACCCTGTAGAGCTACGGCGCGGCGGCCGCGGCGAGTACAGTAGCGGCTCGGCTTCGGGGCCAGGGCGCCGCGAGTCCGAGGGGAACACCCGCCTTGAGTACAGTAGCGCGCGCGCGCCACCGCGGCGACTGGCATGAACTGCCGTGACCCACCCCGACGTTGCGGGTCGGAATCGCAGTCACTTTCTGAGAAACTTGCGTGGACGGCGCGACAGCCGCTGCGACAGCGTGGCGAGGCGGTGAATCCCCGAACAAGACGGAAGGATTGAGTGGAGGGGCAGTAAGGGAAACACGGCTGCCAAGCGCAGAGATGCCGTATAAAACGGGGGGCAGCGTCCCTCCCTGCATCAGTCACTCCACGCCACCGCAGCGTCCGCGAGTACCTCTTCTGTCCTCGCTTCTAACCCAGTGTGCAGCGCGCCTAACCCAGTAAGTACCACATGCGAGCGGTTCAATGTCAAACTAGTGCTGATTACTTCGGCTCTAGTGTGGTGATGTTCGGGGCGGTGCAGCGTGCAGCCACAGTGCTGAGCCGGCTTATGTAGCTTGCGCGCTTAAAACCTGTCAAAGTATTTTGAGCATATGTAGGAAAAAACTATTTAGTTTTCAAAACGAAAAAATAATTTGTAAATTACATTATTCTTCGTCCATAGCCTTTTTACGAAATTGAGCGTACGTTTCAACACGCACATTAGAAAACTTGCGTTTTTGCGTATGAATTCGTGCATTCCACGCACATGCTCAACTTCGTTCAGCAGCTACACCGGTAAAACAAAGGCCATAAAGCTACGCCGTTAGAGGCATAAACAGTAGCCCTTTAAGGGCATAAGGGCATTCGTTTGAATGTGAATATGCTAATTTGTGGAGCTTTCACATTCAATTGAATGTGTCACCTGTGACACAATGCTCGAACGAAACGAGACATTTTGTCACATTCCTTTCAACGTGAAGTCTTATTCCTGGAATGAGAGTGATGACAGTCACTAACAAGGCCCCCTTTGCAGCTGACCATGCAGTCCCTGTCCGCCCTGCTGCTGCTGTGCGTCGCCGCGACCCTGACGACGGCGTCGCCGATGCCGGGCGACGGCGACACGAAGGCCTTCGGCGGCGGCAACCTGCGCTCGGGCAACGTCGGCGTCAACCACAACTTCGGCGACCGCCGGAACACCGAGATCGGCGGCGGCGTGGGCTACGGCCCCGGGTCCGTCACGGGCAACATCCGCGCGCAGACCGACGTGTGGCAGTCCAGGGACGGCAACTCGCGCGTGTTCGCCGGCGCCGGACGCAGCCAGGTGCTCAGCGGCCCCGGCAGAGGCCAAGGCGAAAACTCCTTCAACGTCGGCTTTCAGAGGAGGTTCTAGGTCTCCTAGTCGACCCAACATCGCCACCCCTCAAATTATACCTGTAAATTGGTCAAAATCTACCGTCTTTCCTCAATCTAAAGAGTTGGGTCCATAATGTCAAAACCGATCGATTATTGAATGTGATAGCGAAGACATCATGAAGTGTAAATACTGATTTTGTTCACGCGAAATATAAAAGTTTTATTTATTCATTTGAACTGACATTGGTTTAGTAATTGGCTCGCTCTAGGCTCCTGTCCCCACACGTTCCTCTTCAACGCACTTTTGTCTTGATCGGGCTCCGGCTCCAACTTCGCATGTTCACTACTCATCACTGACTCGCCCACTGTGGCAAAAAGCTACGGAAAATTCCGTAAACAGCTCGTGGTAATTCTCCGTAGCCCCCTTGTTAATATTCTCCGTAGGCTCTTCCAGTATTCTCCGTAGGACCGCACAGTGATCTCCGTGGGACTATACAGTCTTTCAGGTCCTACGGCCCTACGGAGAATACTGTGAGAGCCTACGGAGAATATTGATAAGAGGCCTACGGAGAATCCTGGCAAAAAAAAAATAACAGAATTTTCCGTACCTTTCTGCCACAGTGCCACTCGACAAACTGAAGCAGCGGAAAGCTTCACGTGTCACTGCCCGCCCATCGAGTACAACATTATAAGCATATTAAGAAGCATTTCTTCATAATACGAAGCAATTCTACAATGCCTTTATTTTCTTTGTAGTTATGAAGTAAATGCCTCGTAGGCTTTTAAGAGTGGTGGTGACGACAGGCGCGACTGCTGCTGCTGGCGCCTGCGCTCCGCAACCTGGTGCTGGACCCTCGCCTTGGGGATCGCCGGCTGTCGTCGGCGCTGGGGCGAAGCAAGGCCGTCGTCACCGGCCACCTCGACCTCAAGGAGTACATCTGGCTGCTGCCCGATCCCACCGTGGTCCTGGACCTGCTGTGGCGCAGTCGTGAACACCTCCGTGCGCTCAGCATCTGGATCAACGACCATTCCCAGTTTGAGGTGAGCGCATAGGGTAGCAACACACAGTGCACAGGAGAACGCGGGTGGCGGCCTAAACTCTTTACGCGTTGTGAGCGCCTGAGTTGCTCAAGGGGGCAAGACACTGAAAATGGCCGAAAACTGACTTGTGCGATTGCTTCCATACGCGTTGTTCTACGTTGTTAAAACATTTCATGTGTTTAGACCATACGAAAAGAAGCATTTTGAGCCCAGAACGGCGTGGATCGGACGCTCAAAAACAATTTCTGAGGATTTTGCAAAAACGATCACAACAGGTTTTTTTTCGTAAAATTTTGTACTTCTTATAGCTTGATGTTCATGGTTGTAGTTCATTAGATATCCACATCAATTACCTACATTTTGGCGCAAACGGGGTTGCGAAATCTTCATTTTTGCGGACTAAGGGACTTCTACCAGTTCGATTTTTGCCAATAATTTGATTCCAGTGCAGTCGTTCAACACACTGCCAATCCAAGTGTGAGACAGTCTCACAATATTTAGTGCGAACCACGATGTCTCACGCTTACAAGCGTGAACCATGCGTGTGCCACACTTGCAAGTGTGAGACACGGCATGTCTCACACTTACAAGCGTGAGACACGTCTCATACTTACGAGCGTGGGTCCTGTGGCATTTAACCACAGGGAACCATAGGCAGTAAGTGTGGGACAAACCGTGTCTCACACTTGTAAGTGTGAGACAAATGATGTCTCACGCTTGCAAGCGTGGGACAAACGTGGCTCACACTTGTAAGCGTGAGACATCGTGGTTCGCACTAAATAGTGTGAGACTGTCTCACACTTGGATTGGCAGTGCATGCATCTTTCCTGCCTGTCTCAGCTCGACAGCGACTGCCGGTCGCCCCTGCAGGTGGTGGCAGGGCTGCGCCGGCTGGAGCACTTGCACCTGGACTGGCTGGACGAGCACCCGTACGCGGGGGAGCTGCGGGACGGGCTGCCGACGCTGCGCCGCCTCACGGTCAACGCCATGCACCCCGAGGACCCGTTCCGCTTCGTGGACGAGGCGCCCCCCGCCCTGGTGGCCGACCTGCTGCGCGGCGCGGCGGCCTCGCTGCGCCACTACCAGCACGACTCCTTCGAGGCCGTGCCCGGCGCCGTGCTCGACCGCCTGGCGGAGTGCGCTGAGATGCGTGAGGTGAGCGTGGGACTGATTGAATGGTGTGCACTCTAAATGTCTTTCGAAGAAATTTCCCATAATACGAAGGAAATGGCGCAAGCATAATGCGAAGGTGGGTTTTCTTCGTATTACGAAGGCTTTTCTTTGTATCTTACAATGAAAAAGGTAAAAAGATTCGTATTACGAAGGAATATTGCTTCGTATTATGCTTGCGCCGAATTCACTGTAACATACGAATAACATAGGTCAAATTTCATTGTAAGACATTTAGAGTGTGAGTGCTGACCAAACTTGGGCGAGAAATACTTCTCCCTGTCTTGTGATGAGAAACAAAATGAACATGTTTACACACTTAAAACCCTACAAAGAACTGCTCGTTGTGATACAAAGAAAACGGAGGCTTCGCAGCCTACGAAGGAAATCGTTTGTAATACAAAGGATTTTGTTTGTAATGCAAAGGAAAAATCCTTTGTAGCCTACGAAAAACTTCTTCGCAGCCTGCGAAGGATTTTTTCCTTGTATCACAATTGATTTCCTTCGTAGGCTGTGAAGCCTCCGTTTTCTTTGTATTACAACGAGCAGTTCTTTGTAGGGTTTTAAGTGTGTAGCCAATTTCGGCCGAGGGGTCACGGTGGTATTATACGTGTAATACCACGCATTACGGCATTCAAATGCTTAAATTTTGTCGAAGACCCAAAATTGCATTATGTGTGTCACGCGTAACACGGAGTTTTTGTGTGGAGAGTATTTACCGTGTGTTTACGCCCTCGATTTTGGCATTACTATTACACACTTCAGTATACGCACTAACGTCATGGGAATTATTTTTGTGCCTTGGATGATGCAATCTGAAGCACATCCAGGGCGTCAATTTTGTGTCCACCGGGGTTACAAAAATTGTCCAAAGTTGTATCATTGACGGATGTGCTAAAAGTGCATCATCCATGCGATAAAAAATGTCCCATGGTATTTGGTGTGCGTACTGTACTGAGGCTAATTCGACGCGTCCTAAAAGAATAATCCTAACTGTCAGAGCAGTTCCAAGACAATCCTAACTGCCAGAGCTGATCCAAGACAATCCTAACTGTCAGTGCAGATTAAGAACTATCCTAACTGCAGAGGTACCTAAAAGGTTCATGAAGTATCTTCACTGCAAATCAGAGACTTTCGATATATCTGAAATACAATGTCCACCAAGTGTCCACGTATTTATATAATGTTGAAACTTCGTAACGAGCCCTTCGGCAAGGGTATGTCTCATTTTCCTGTGTCTTTTGTCCCCGCGAAGGTGGTGGCCAACGGTTCGTGCGTGGAGGCGTCTCACGGCTGGCCGCGCGTCCGCGGCTTGCGGCTCATGTCCGCCGTGCGCAGCTCGGGCGACGTCGCCCGCTTCGCCAGCGCCCTGTCCAGTTGCGAGACGCTGCCGAGCCTGCGCCGCCTGCACCTCAGCGTGTTCCACGACGACCGGGGCCGCCGGGGGGCCGCTGGCGACAAGGCGGCGTGTGGGCGCGCCGTCGCCGCCTTCCAAGCCGCCCGCCCCGACGTCCATATCAGCTTTTCGCAGACGTAGACCAGCTTTGTCTCTGCGCTCGGCGGCACGCGCGGTTTGCTTTGGGTGCGATTCCCTCTCGTGACTATACTTCTTTTGCGGCGATGTGTCACGGACTCCTCTACTTGAATACAAAAGATGAATAAATAGGTGAAGTATCAAACGATTTGTAGTAAGATTGATTCATACACAATTAAGGTTCTTGTAAAGTGGAAAAAAGTGGCCATATGACATTTTTTTTAATACTTGTGTCAGATGTTTCAATTTAGGGGTAAAAGTTCCTTTCTATTACATAAACTCATACCCTAAGACTAGGGCCCCAACTCCTATTAGTTTCTGACTTACGGAGGTTTACATAAACTTTTGTCGTTTCCAAATTCTTCTCACGACGAAGGATTAGCTACCCAGTCTTCAGATTCTGGCAATTTTATCTATATTTGAATGGGAAAAAAATAGTGTTGCCCTTTTTGTAAGGGAAGGTGGGGTACCATGTGACACGGCCACCGTGTGACTTTGGCTTTTTCTCCCAAACGGCCTGCTATCCAACAGCGGTAAGAAGACTCAAAGGAAGGTATCATGATGGAGAATCGACGTGCAATTCGCCCCGCAAAGCAAAGTGGCAGCTCTGGCGGCGACCGTCGGAACTACGTCGCCAGCTCCCTGGGTAGGGTTTTCTGGCCAGGGCCAGGCGGGTCAGACACGCTAAGACGCACGGGTCTGTGCCGCTACCGGGGCTACCTCACGGCCTCCACCAGCAAGGCTCATCGCCCCCACCACCACCACGGACTTGTCCCCCCTACCACCCGGATTGCTTGAAAAACCCTAGGCACAGCAGCCGCGACTGTGGTGCCATCTCTCGGTTGCTTTGCGGGGCGAATAGGTCGTGACTCTCCTTCGAACAGGACGGGAATGGTAGCGATCAGAATTGGAAACCGTCTTAAAATAGCTCATTAGAAACTTTTTCCATTTCCCGCCGCGTCCGCTTTTTACCTTTAAAATACATTTTAAGGACATAAGCCATGCAAGATGTTCTTCTTTGATGTTTTAAGCTCTAAATAAGCTTTTGCTCGATTCTCTACGGCATAAACTTTTCCCCTAAAACTGCTGATCTGGGCACCACGTGACACCACTGTCATTCGCTATGGGATTCCACGATACTCAATGCTCGGGAACCAAAGATGATAAATTGATAAACTCAACGAAAATAAAAAAGCTGGAAGACTTCTACATTCATTCTTTGCACATAGGTACGCTGAATAGGATTTAAACCCTGACAAAAGGCCACTGTCACATGGTGCACTAAGGCTGTCACATGGTGTACTGCGTGGGTTACGAAGTGACACTTTGACTTAGGCCCATTCAACTCGGTATAACTCAGCAACCAAAACTGATAAATTAGAAATCTCAACAGAAATTATACGGTGAAGAATCATTTTGTTCACATGTCAACTTATGGATGTAATGTGATTGGTATTATTGGGTTGCCGGGCAGTTGAACAGAAACCGTCACATGG